TGAAGGCGTCAACCCAAAAACGAGGAGAAAGATGAGAGTGAAAGAGAAGGGCCAAGCCAGTCTCAGTCACATGACGATGTTTTCTCTCAACACGACCATTTTGAGCAGGTGTATATGGACAAGAGAGTTGATGGTGGATGCCAGAATTACGTAAATGAGTTTTGAAACAAGTACTAGTAAATTCGGTACCACCATCGCTTTGAAATACCTTGATACGAGAAGAATATTGATTTTCCACAAATTTTTGAAATTGAAGAAAAATATCAAAAAAATCAGATTTAAATTTTAAAGGGTAAAACCAAGTGAATCGAGAATAATCATCAATAAAAATAGCATAATAAAGAAAACCCGAATTTGATTTGACGGGAGAAGGACCCCAAAGATCACAATGAATAAGATCTAACACATGAGACGACCTACGTTCATTGCGGGAATAAGGCAATCGATGGCTTTTCGCAAGCTGACAACTATTACATAATGATGGAGAAGGCAATAAAGACGTAAGAGAAAGATGACCTTTTTTATTTAAAAAAGAAATAACAGAATGATTCACATGACCCAGACGAGCATGCCATAAATCATATGAAGCACGTAAAGATTTGTTTTTAAGGGCTGAAATAAAAGCAGAGTTGCCGCGCTCCAGCACATATAGCCCTCCATCTCTTTTACCGGTTGCCACCACCCTTCCTGTTTGATGATTCTGGATAGTAATAAGATTATTAGTAAATGTAACGGAGAGAGGAAAATCAGACGTTAATTTACTTATGGAAAGAAGATTTTTAGTGAGGTGAGGGACAACCAAGACATCTAATAAGTGAATATTTGGAACAGGAGAAAGAGTACCGATGTGGGTAATGGGTAGGGATGCACCGTTTCCTACAATCACAGAGTCCTTACCCGTGTAATTTTTAGACTGATCCAGAATTGATGGGTCGGCAGTCATATGGGCCGAAGCTCCAGTGTCCAAAAACCAATCAGCAGCATCGGGTCCAGCAATAGAACATGACGTGTTAAAGGCTTCAGCAAGGTGAGCATGAGAAGAATCAGGTCGAACATACCGTTGGTTGCAGCGGTCAGCATAATGGCCCTCTTTGCGGCATATTTGGCAATGAGGTGGTCGACGACCCTGACTTGAGTGGGTTCGTCCTCGATTAGAAGAGTTGTTTTTGTGAGAATAAGAACGACCTCGCTGGTTGGTAAAGGAAGCAGGGTGACTTTCATGGGTGCGGCCACGATTAGTGGCTATGAATGCTGTAGGAGTGGAGTCAGAGGACTCAAGGGAGCGCTGGAACAACTCAAAACTTTCAGTTTTAGAGACTAGATCTGCAAAACAGGGGATAGGGGTGAGAGCCATCTGAGCAGTAGAAAAAGCTGAAAATTCGGTGCCGAGTCCACGAAGGAACCAATGCACTTTATCAATGTCCTCGACGGGTCTGCCAATGGCATGAAGTTGGTCACAAATTTTTTTGAAGGCACGGGCATACTCAGCAACAGGTTTTGTGCCACGTTTCATCAACTGCAAGTCATCCTTGAGTCTCAGTTCACGAGCTTTTGACTGATGGCTGTACGTAGTTTCCAACGCAAGCCAAACATCACGTGCAGTAGAGAGACCAACGACAACAGCCATGGCTTCCTCAGTGAGAGAGGAGAGCAGGAGACAGAGAAGTCGTTGATCGGCTGCTCTCCATGCCAAATATTTGGGGTTGAATGTTGAGGAGGTTTCTGGTTCAAAGCGAGGTGGTGGAACCATAGTTCCATCGACATAGCCCAGCATGTCTTGACTCTCAAGAAGAGGGAGAAGTTGGCTTTTCCAAAGAAGATAATTGGAGGAAGAAAGTTTGATGGTGATCATATGGATTAGAGTATTGAAAGGAAGAAGATGATAACAAGATTCGGAAGCCATAGAGAAGAAAGGATCAGGGTTGTTAAACCAAAAGGGCTCTGATACCATGTGAATGTTTGATTAATCCACCACACCCAAATGGTGGTGAGAGTTCTCTTATTTATAATCATTTACAGAATACAGAAATAAGGTAAATTACAAATAATAAGGAAATAGCGATAAAAGGAAAGAATAATAAATGAATACAATATATTTGCATTTAGTAAAAGAGAAAATATGGTAACCCGTAATGTAAGGCAAATATCTAGATATTTGCCTTAATGAACGGTCAACTATCCTTAACACAACTCCCTATAACTTTCTGATCTCCCGCCATAGCTTGAAAGTGGTGTAGATTAGGAATTACGGATCTCCACGATAGTATAATAATATCCATTTTGAACATAAACTCTCATGACTTTAGTTTATGCTTCATAAAATATCTTATACCAATCAAAATTTATTCCTTACTTACAAATACAAGATCATTCTCTAAATTAGTCAGGATTCCCTTCCAACCATCTTCAATGGTGCAGTAGATGAAGTAGGCCGGGTGGATAAGTTATATGTGGGACCATTTGTAAATGATTGATTTTCTTATTATATATATATATATAGTTTATTTCATGATAGGTTATTGGTTTATTGGGTGGGTGGGTAGGTATTCTTTTTAAAAAATTATTAATTTGTTAGGTTTTTAATAATGAAATTATGTATATTTAAAAATTTAGTTTAATTTAATATTTTAAAAGTTAAAAGAGTATATTTTAAACCCGTGTTGAAAGTTTAAATTTATTTAAAATAAAGTGTTAAAATAAAGTATATTTTTTATTTTTCTTTTAAATTTTAAGAATATTTTTTAGATTTTTTAATGTTTAAGAATATTTTTAAGATAGGGCGTAAACATCCATTATATTTTTATTAATTTAACCTAATTTTAAATGGATTAGGAAAGGTCAACCATGTTGAACACTTTTAAAATAATAGACAAATTAATGGATATATATAGACGAAATTATACACCTTGAAAGGCACCCCCAATTATCAGTTTGGCAACAAGTGACCAATAATGTAAACTTGATGTGATATTATTATTATTATTATTATTATTTTCATTAGTAACATCATGCCCCTAAACTTAATTATCTTATGTAATTAAACATAATTGGGTGGCCTATGGTTTATTAATACATCGTTTTAAATTAAATTAAAAATTAGGGAGAACCTAGTGTAATAATTTGAATATTATCTTAATTTTTTCAATAATAATTTTTTTATTTCTTAAAAAATAATGTTCCATGGTTCAATAACCCATTAGACTACTTAATATTATTTTAAAATTTAAAATTTTAGAAATTTAATAAATATAATCAACCGTTGAGACGGTTAAAATACATACTTTTTTAAAATAAATGCTATAATCAATCTTTCACCTTTGCCTGAAAGCAACAGATGGTTAAGTATGGAGCGTACGATTTATTCTTATGGTTATATTGGTGGGGGCCACAAATTGAGAGCAACAATTGTCTTGTAAACTTTGTCATCCACGACACTATCGACAACCTTGCGTTTTATTCAATATGGGGCGTCGTTTTCATGGTTCTTAACGCACTCAGTGTCGAATGGCGTCACCATCGAGTTCACGAAGATATGGTGCAGCTGAAACATTATTGCTACACGTGGCCATGTTTTAAACTTTTTAACTGAAATTGACTTGTACCATAAAACCCCTTTTATTCTTGTTTTTTTTTTCTCGTAATGGCAAATGGCCTCTAAATGCAAGTGATTCAAGAATATCTATACCCCTTGTATGTACAAATTTCATTAGTTCGCGTCGAACTTTGTTCTTGTCAATCAAGCGAGAGTAGCTTGACACTACACGGTGGTTAACCTAGAAGAAGAAAAAAAGGTACGACGTTCAGAACAATAATTAAAGGATAAATGTTCGGGTAAGTTTTATCTTATTGAGACAGAAAGTGTATAAAGAAATGGCCCTTTGGCCAACCTAAAGGGCATTAATAGGGACTGCAATAAACAAAATGGTGATTTTGGATTTTATTAATGCACCAACAGACAAAATAATACATCTATTTCAATTATCTGTCACAATTTTTCAATTATTTTTTCTTCCAATAATTTATTTTTATTGCGAGAAAAATCCATCGAATACTGAGTGGGCCGGTGAGCCCAATATTTTTAAAGGTAAAGCCCATCACGCACTGGCCCAAACAGCTATTTTTGGGCTACAATTATTTCCCTTACGCAACAACAGGCCCAATACACTTATAATATATTTATTTAATTTTTTAATTCATCAACTTTTATTAATTATTGGGATATATAATAATTTATAAGGGCCCTCCAATAATTATACGATTTCCATCACCTTTTATTTTTTTCAGGCCTCTTCTTTTTTTTGCTGTCTCCCACTCAATTTCCCTTCCTAATATTTAAAAAAAAAAAAAAACTAAATTATTCAATAAATTTAGGCCAAGTTTGACCTAATATAAAGTTTTATTAATCGATTAAGCTATGATTTAAAAGTCGTATAAGATGTGATATGTCTCACTTCATATATATCTTAGTCCACAAATTATTATATTTGTCATCGTTCTTTTCATTTCATTCATTTGTGGCAATCACATGTGAAATGACAAGGTATCCAATGTGAACGAACATTTTAATTATATGTTGTTTAAATAATGTGATTTGAAATATTTATCGATGACGATAAATGGGTAGGAGTGGCACCTTGTTTTCAAACATAATTCATCTAAGTTAGCTCGGAAGTGACGATCATTATATGGGTTTTGTTTGTTTTTTTTTGTAATAGCTGTCAACGGTATAAATAAATGTTATATTCATAAGTAGTCTCTACGAATGATCATGTTTTTCGTGGTCTACTAAGTGACACGTGATCATGATAGATGTCATGTGATTTTGTTTGAGAGGGTAACTTCAGTGATCCAACCTACCAATGATAGCTCCTCAAGAACTACTTTGTTGATGGTTTAATTCAAATTCTTCCTCATGTAATTACTTGAAATTAACTCTATCAAGGTCTGTTTTAAGGTTCTAAATTAGGATAAATGGCGTAATTAGGGTGTCATTATTATGATAAACAAGATAATTAAGAACGGTAGACTGAGTCAAGCATTGATTAGTGTATTCAAATTCAAAGTTTAAATTTAATTATGAAGAGTGAACAGAAAATCTTTGAAAGAGATCACATCCCATGCAGCTGAAGGTTGACTCAGAGCAACATTAAATTCCCAATCCCCAACTTTTTATTCTGATGAAATATCAATTACCCATTTTCTTTTGCTTCAATTTTTGCTCCAATCTCTGTCTGGCCGATGAAATCCTTTGCATCGTCGGATTTCACTCTCCAGCGACCACTGCGGCGGTCCGATTTCCTCTTCCGCCTCCGGCTACCGTTCGTATAGGTGATTGAGGGATTAAAGGGGGCTGAAATCGGAGGCGAAATGTATAAAAATCAGCTTCAGGAATTGGCGCAGAGGAGTTGCTTTAATCTTCCTTCTTATTCGTCGGTTAGGGAAGGGCCTGATCATGCTCCGAGGTTCAAAGCTTCCGTTAACTTTAACGGCGAGATCTTCGAAAGCCCTAACCATTGCCCTACTCTCCGGCTGGCTGAACACTCGGCGGCCGAGGTTGCTCTCAATTCCCTCGCGAATCGCGGTCCATCTCACTCGCTTGCCGCTCGGATCCTGGTGCGTATTCTTACACTCATTGTGCCGATTAGTTTCCGCCGTTGTTGTTGTTGCGAATATTGTGTTTCACGATGTGTCTTATTTCGTTCTTGTTGTTCTTCTTGGTCTTTTGTTCTAGTAGCTATTGCAAACTAGAGTAGGTCGCATTACTGTGTGCGAGTTCTATGTTTCCCTTCCTTGACAGTCTTCAAACCTACGATCGCAGTTCAAAATCTGATGCCAAAATTGGAGTTTCGATCTTATTCTTGAGTACGGTTTCAGGTTATTGCCTGAACGTTCCGGCTAGCGACCTCTATCGGCCGGAATGGAGTCGGCGATTAAGCTAATCTGGTTCTTTCAGAATGCAAAAATTCACGAATAACCTTTCATTTTTCACCTCTTTTCCTCTAATGGCTCATCAAATTCCAAATCCACTTGTTTTTCCTGACGAAACCGACACCGTAGACTTTAAATTCAAGAAACAGAGTACATTTTAGGAGACTTATTGACGGAAGCCTTCAACATTGATTGATATCTGCGATTGTTTTGTTGTTATCAATATCATTAAGGGACCAGTTGCGTACGTGATTTTCTATGGGGATGGTTGGTGATATTAAGTTCAGTTTTAACTTGTCCTAGTAGCTTCCCCTTGCACGCCCCTGAAAGCCTCTGTATTCCCAGTTTTTTGACAATAACATGGCTGATTGAGCTGAATGCTGTGGCAATTTATGTATGATTGCAATTCTACAGAGTTTTTTTTGCATGTTTTTGTAATGTACATTTAGATATGAACTCATTGTTGATCTTCTTGCTCAACTCTGTATCTTTGGTTTAGTGATTAAGTAATATATTGTAATTGGCAGGATGAGACAGGGGTTTACAAGAACCTCTTGCAGGAAATTGCCCAGAGAGTTGGGGCTCCATTGCCACAGTATACAACAGTCCGGTCAGGACTTGGACATCTGCCTGTTTTTACAGGGTCTATAGAATTGGCTGGAATCACGTTCACTGGGGAACCTGCCAAGAACAAGAAACAGGCAGAGAAGAATGCAGCCTTGGCAGCTTGGTCGTCTTTAAAACAACGTGAGTTTTGTTTCTGGATTTTTCATCCCGATCATTTAAATCCATCTTAGAAGATCATGTATCTAGCATAACCTTGGTGAATGTACTGTGGTTTAGCCCTAATGTTGCATGTGCCACTTTCTGTGACACCTCTTATCCCCCCAGATTCAATATTTCTTAGCAGTCTTTAAGATTTTCAATCAACCCATTGCATTTTACAACCTTTGTACATCTATGTCCCTGAGTTCTAAAGATACAATAATAAAGCCATTGTACTTGGATTTGGATATTATGTGAATCACGATTATTATTTGTGGAAGAAGACGTTGCCATGGATGTGCACTGATATATCAATTGTCGTTAAACATGTGGATAATGTAGTTTGTTTTTTCTGTCCAGTGGCAAAAGAAGCGGCCAGTTCATCGGAAGTTGAAAGCAGTGACGAGCCAGAGCAGGTTATGATAGCTCGAGCATTATTGAACTATCGTTTAAAGGAGAAGATGTTCAAGACTAACCCAAATGTCCCAATGCCATTCCCAAAGAAGCTTTCATTTCAAAGTCCAAGGGCAACTAGTCCGCAACCTCCCCCCGCTACCACATCCAAAATTCTACCTTTCATTTGCAAAAAGCCAATTTCTCGAAGCAGACTACCACCAACAGAATACAACAGCCCTACATTACCATCACATCCTCGTACAGCCTATGGGTGTCATCCTCAAAAGTTCCCTGCACCTGGAGCAGTTCCTTATGTCCCGATTCGACAATATAGGATGCCTAGTCGGGGAATTGTACCACCTGTGACTATAAGAACCGCTGTGCCTGTTTACGCTGCACCGCCATTCACACAACCACCCATTGTACACTCCCAGGTGCGAACTTCCCAACACATTCGAATTGCCCCCCCTGTCTCAGTTAGACAAGCTATTCCAGTTTTTGCTGCTCCTCCACCATTGTCCAGAAAGGAGCTCTCAGCTCTTCACAAAGGAGATTCCCTCACTGTCGATAAACAAGATCCGTCAACCACTGCCGTAGAGGGTTCTGCCAATACCTCGAAAGCAGATCATTCAGCTGCATCTGACCCAGTCTTGCTCACGAGAACTTCTATTCAAGTACCGGAAGCTCAGAGTACAAATGCAACCAGTTTGGATGAAACCAAAACTGTTCAGCATCTGAAACAACTCAAAATCCAATAGGTTGTCAACTTCGTTGGATATATACCATAAGATGTGACAATCTCAGATCATCCAATGTTGTTAGATTAATGTTTTGTTTAAGTGTCTTATGTACTATATCGACAGTTTTGCCTTTGCCATATATGACCAATAGTTAGCCCCAAGGTAAACGAGAGGGCAAAATTTCCTTGTAATCGGCTTTATCCAGTGGCAGTAATGTTAATTGTGAAGTCCTTCCCCTTTAGCTATTTACCGTCATCTATTCATAAAATCTCAGTTCCCTTGGCATTGCAGGCTCACAAAGCTGAGGCAAAGTGTTGGAACTGTTGAAAACGATTGGTGGGTTGAGCTCCATATCTTACAGGTACCATTCCCTTACAATTTTGTAATGTTTTTGCATCACTTCTCCAGCTTTCTGACTCTAATATTGGGTTGGAAGACACAGAACAAAAGGTCTTAATTCTTAAAGCTTATTAGAAGATACAAAATCATGAAATCAAATAGAATGGATGGTAAGATTAGATTGTCAGAAATAAGGTAAAGATTTGCATGCTCTTAGACGTATACTGTGGTAATGATCGAGAAACTATAATGAGATTAAAAAAAAAAAAGTCAGAAAGTGGTCGAAAGTTGTCTGAAAGTCAGGGGTTAGTGGGGTGACAGGGAGTGTCTATTTCTCATCCTGACGAGAAAAAAACACAATAATTTCACCCTCCAAATCATAGTGTTGTAAACACTAGAAGCCTTAAATATTGACCACATTTTAGTTGCCTATGACCGTTTACTTCTATTTGTTTTCTTCTTTACTTTTCTATGATTGGATGTGGTAGTATCGTTTCTTTTTTCTCCCTCAATATTGTGTGGTGCCTTGAATTCTGTGGTTTTGATCTGTCTTGTTTTGGGAAGTTTGGTTTAAGCTGAAGTAAGTTCATAAACTAGAGCGTTCGAGTGGGTTGAACTGTATGATGATGAACAGGGCAGTCTTGAAATCCTTGGTTCATAGTCTGACATTGTTAATCTCTAAAGCTTTGAACCCATCAGCTTAATCTCAGTATTAAAAAGCGAAAGAATAAAGTGATTACTGATAGATAGATCCATTGCAGGAATCAAGAAAAATGAGATTTCTAATTTCAGGTGTCATGTCAAATTCGGTGGAAAAAGAATTGACATGAACAACATCTTTTGTTTTTTAGTAACATTGTTGAAGACATTCTAATTGGCCTGGAAGAAAACATGAAACACCACACCCACTTTACTTTCTGGTAACCTACGTGTTAACGATGGGATTTGTTTCTAGTGGCTGGCTCTGCTAATACCCTTTGGATTATTTTTGAAGAAATTGTGTTTTTTTATTTTATTTTATTTTTTTTATAAATAAGGCCAGGCAATATCCAAACAGGTTGTTGTGTGTTTGTTGTTTTCTCCATTTTGTGTGTGTAAATTATTTGTGTTGAAAGGGAATCAAAGGGGACAAAAAGGAGGGGAATAGGAGTTGCTTGCACATAACGTCTCAAGTTTTGAATTGCAATTCAATGCCCTTGGAGATGGCCACAAGGTGGGGGCAGTAGCGATCCAATGCCCCACAAGGAATTTTTCTCATTTTTTTAATGGTGTGTGCGTAGATATGCTTAGAAGAGGGTAGAGAATGAATATTCTCCTTCTTTAGCCACGTTTAGCTAATAGGGAGAAATGTTTTATACTCGCTTATTCTTTAGCCACGTTTAGCTAATAGGGAGAAATGTTTTATACTCGCTTATTCTTTTGACCATGTTCGTGGCAGGTTTCCACCCAATGGAAAAAGGAAAGGAAGATAAGAGTGTGGTCTAATATGGTAGAACAATTCCCCCAACTACCCATGGCTCAAAACAAACTCTCAAACTCTCCAGTTGCATTTGGGCATTCAAAGTTCACTTTTTATGGCGAAAACAACAGTGCCTTGAAATGCCCAATATGATGCTTTTATTTATTTATTTATTTATTTATTTATTTATTTATAGGCTAAAATAGTGAGATAAGTGTGAGAAAGAAGCAAAGTTATTGAAGTGGGACCAAATCTCCACTTGAAGGACACCAACTCCTCAAAGCAATGCCACGTCAACCCCTCTCTCACACAACAACCATTTGTTTTTATTTTCTATCTTTCTAAAGAATGTGTTATTTTATGGATCTCCCACAGACATATTGGGCCCACAATTGGGCCCATCGGCCCACTCCACATATATTATTCCTTTCCTATCACAAAAGCAAGCAATGCCAGATGGAACCCTCCACCATCTCTCTCACATTATATGTTTTGTGTTGAAGAAGAAGAAGAAAAAAAAAAAAAAAAAAAGAGGGTTTTTTTAGGGTTATAGAGGGAGAGGAGGAGGACAAAGTGGAAGAATGTTAATCCCATCACCTAAAGTATACCCGTTTGACTTTCTTTCTTTCTTTCTTTCCTCTTTAACGAAGTTGCTACAATGCGACTGTGTTGACTACATTATAATACTATAATTTGAAAACTATGATATTAAAATCTTGAGTTCAACCGGGAAGGACACTTCATTGCACCCACATGATGAGAGACTTAACAAAACAAAAGGAGAGGGGCAGAGGGTTATGATTATTGAAATGCACACAATGATTGTACCAAAAAGATTAATCCCGACCCGATGCGTAAGATCAATAAAGAATCAACACAATTCCCCCCATGTTGCTTGTAATGCAATGCAATTCCAAGTTTTATAAGTTTTCCTATTCAAAAATACACTCCCACTTTGCCTTTTCCTTTTCTTTTTCCAAAAAAAAAAAAAGAAAAAAGAAAAGGAAAAAAAAACTCAAAATTCTCTCTATTTTTTGTGCTCATCATCCCTCCTTTTACTTATTTAATATAATTCCTAACTTTTTCTAAATTATTTCAAGAATTCAATAAGTCAATATTTATTTGTTTAATAATTCTTGTAATCTTTTTATTTTTATTTTTATTTTTAGAAGAAGTAAATGAGAGGTAAAAAAAAAAAGATAAAATGTGAGTGGGGAGCACGTGAGGTTACTTTTTGCGCGTGCCAAAGGATGAAAAATAAAATATATGGCAACCCATTAAATTCATATCATTTCATACTAATTTATTCCCATATATATAAATAAATAAATAATAATGAAGATTGGAGTTTGTGGACCATTTTCTCCTTTATTTATTTTTATTTAAAATAAAATATAAGGAATGTTGGTCTGGAATTATGAAACCGCCTTCAAACTGCTCATCTTTTCGTCTTTATTGTCTTTCCCATTTGTCCTTCATATCCCCAAGATTCTCCATTTTGCCACTCCCTCCCCTTATTACCAATTTTTATTCTTTTCCTTTAAATTTTATATACATTTAATAAAATATTACACCCATATAATTCAAATGATACGTTTATATGTTTGCCTGTACTTTTGGTAACTCGAAACATTATAGAATGATACACCTATGTTTTAACTCAAATAAATGTTGGTTTATTGTATGTCTTAATGTACCACATGAATTCATTTAAACTTAACCTATCGAGATGCTTGAATTTGACGTCCAATTCTTGGAAGGAAAAATAAATTCTCGATGACCCACCTACCACTTCGATCTCTAGTTTTGTTTTTCATTAGCAATCGTTTATATCTAATTAAACTCATCTTTAAAACGATAGCTAGCTAGACTAGTGCACGATGACTGTTTTTGCATTGGTGCTATGTAAAAGTATTCAATACAATAGTACAAATGTACGAATCAAATTTGTAAAGTATAAGAATGTTTGAGTATCTTGTACAATAAAAAAAAATTGAAACCGGTCAAAATAAAATGAAAATCATAAATTATGTAAAAAAGACAAAAATACACCCATATAAATAAAAATTATTGTAAGTTTCCTATAAAGATTTTTCAATGATTGGTTAGTGTTGGGCGTTTATTTTTTGGTATTAATTATATTTGAATTTATTATTTTTGTACTTTTTAAGTGATTATTTAGCCTATTATTAACAATAAATTGATGATGATTTAATATTAGTCACAGAAAAAAATTTATCACTTATATACGGCTAGCAATAATTATTGAAATACTTCGACAATAATGATTAAAAATAATATGTTTATTTATTTATTTTAACTTTGTAGAAACTAGTGGCCTAACATGTCATTTCAACTCCAAACTAGGGACAACGACGTAAATGCACCCAAATCAATTTTAAAAATTTATTATTATTTTATAGAAAAATAATATATTATTATCTAAGCCAAAAAATAAAAAAGAAAAAAAAGAGTACTCCCCCTGGCAAGTTTTGTCGATATGCGTGCAAATCAATCCCTCTCTTCTCTTTTATTCTCACTGTCCCTGCTCACTCTCAGATCATCTTCTTCCTTCTCTCTTCACGCCCAAACATCTCTGATTTCTTCTCCCCTCCACCGCCCTTCTTTTTCTTGTTTCTTCATTATTAGGGCTCCGTTTTTTTCCATTGCCCTCTTCTTTGCCCTCTTCTTCTTTATGTTTCCTTCCAAATCCTCTGCATTCTATGTCCGATTGAATGCCTTCTTCTTTCTAATGGGGTGTCTGTGTCTGTGTGTGGAATGCCATAACCGGCCATGGGGATGGATGGATGTTTAGTTAAACTCCTTCACTTCCCTTTTGATTTCTTGTTGTTCTATTGCGCTTAGTTGAACTAATAAGCTTTGATTTCTGGGAACGGGAAGTCAGGGATTGCTGTTTTGAATTTTGAGCCGAGTGTTTGGCATTATAGGGCTTAATTTTGCTACACCATTCGGCATTTCCCGAGCTCTAAGGCTAAGAAACTTTCTGGGGTTTCGAATTACTGCTGTTTCCCATCTGGGTTTGGGATCTGAAAGCTCTGTAATCGAATCCGCCAAGTTGTTTTGGTTTCTGTGTTGGGCTTCTCTGCTTTTTTAGCTTGGGATATTGGATTCTGCGTTGTGGGTTTTTTGACGATATGGCCATGGCTATAGCTCATCACAGAGAGAGTAGTAGTGGGAGCTTAACCAGGCATCTTGACAGTACTGGAAAGTACGTTCGATACACATCAGAGCAGGTTGAGGCTCTTGAGCGAGTCTATGCTGAATGCCCAAAGCCAAGTTCTCTTCGAAGGCAGCAGCTCATCCGGGAATGCCCAATTCTTTCAAACATAGAGCCCAAACAGATCAAAGTTTGGTTTCAGAATCGGAGGTTCTTGATCTGATTTTATGCTTCTAGTTAAATTTGTTCGTTTTTCCTGCAATTGCCATGATCCT